AACGTTACTTAAGACTATACAATTTCGTAACTTTTCGTTATGTTACGAAATTGTATAGTCTTAAGTAACGTTTACACTGGTGTAGTAGTAGTGATAAGCATTAGGCGAGTAAATTATGCCTTTTTGCACATTATAAGAAAATTTCTTGTGTCTTATGAGAAATGTCTTATAAGAAACATTGAGATATAATGTACTACGTACTAGAGAAGACGCCTCAACTCGATTGTTTGTAACACGAGTTAGAGTGCGCGCTCTCAAACTCACTTAGTCTGTGTCAAGCGGTTGTTGCAACGTGAGAAGTTAGAGTGAAGAATTATTTTTAAATTAATATGCCTTCGTGTGCATTGAGATACTGTTCAAACTACTCGAGAAATATAAGGAAAAGTCAAGGAGTGAATTTTCATCAGTAATTTATACTTATTATTATCTTTAAAACACGCTTAATTTAATTATATTTTATCAACTGCAACGTATACGTGAATGTCAAAGAGTAAAACATTTTTATGCGCAGACTTGACACTATCGACGTATAATGTTAAGTAATTATGAACAGTAAAATATTTATATATATCACTGTAGGAAATGTTAATGCATTAAAATTAATATTTTTTATTATTATTTTTATTTAATGTTTTCCTCGGCTGTGTCATGAAACAAAATAATCCATGATTATTTTGTTTCATGACACAACATGATCAAATTTGTTCAGAAGAATTGCAGCGAAGAAACATCAGATTAGTCAAGCACATTGTCCGTGCAGTTCAAAAAAAATGACAAATAGACCGCAAAAACAGGAAGAGTGTACTTCAAGAAATAAGCAGTACCATGTGACAATGTAATTATATAATTATAAAACATTGCTGGGATTTTTGTTTTATTTTTTGATTAGACGACGAACGAATGTTTTGCAATGTTCAGTATATTTACGGGACTTAAGAGAGACGGAAACCTCGGCGCGCGAGTCATTCTAGTATATGACGGTTTTTTAATACTGTACCTAACACTAGAATTTTTGCAGGCTTCCCAAATAACTAGTATCGTTTTTTCAGCCAACAAAATGTGGTGAACAGGAAGTATTAGAACCGTTGTCTGAATCAATAAGCAGTACAAATTCAATTTTAGATAGTCCGAGCAAAATTGTACTTAAAAATAAATTACGCAAGTGATGTTACCTAAGCTAAGTTTGAATTATGTATACGAAGCCTAAGCTTTTAAATATAGTTCTACTTTAATAACGGAATCAATAATTCTAGGTTATTATAAAAAGAATAAAATATAAGCACGTTGTAATATTGTGTTTGTATTTAATAGCAAGGAATCTGCAGCTAGAAAGAAACTTACTGAGAAATTTAAGACAAAATATTTATCTAAAGAAAAAATGTGCTTCTTACAAATCAATTGTAGAAAATTTGAAACATAAATTCGGTCTCAACTTAAATGCTGAGATTGATTTGATGGGTAAAGCAGAAGTTATGGAGTAACATAAATCTTTAACGAAAAAGAATAAACAGAGCACGCATTATTAATTATGCACTGTATGCACCTTTACGTAAATTCGCATTGATTTTACACTATTATTCACCAGCTTCGTATAAATACGTTAGAAAATGCTAGAAATGTAATAATAATGATCTTTGAAAATAAATGCATATTTTTATATTCTACATATTTACCTTTTAAAGTATTAAATAAAATATAATTAAAATGTAATTCTGACATAATATTATGTTACATTATATTAACACATTATGCAATATAAATAATTTAAAAAATTGTACTCGATACAATTTACAATACAATCTAAATAAACATTTACTTATTATTTACTGATCATTCTACCTACGTATATAATCTATGATGACAAAAACCGCGCAAGCGCGACTGTACTATTTACCGCGCATGCGCGAAGACATAGAGTAGTGCACAGTTTTTGTTCGGAATAGCTTCTCTAGTACGTAGTACATTTTATCTCAATGATAAGAAATTCAGTCGCATTGGTTGTTATATGAGACCGCGCATATTATAACATTTTTTTTTCTTATGTCGCATCAGACACGCGCACTCTAGTCATTTTGTCGGCTGCACGTTCGATGTCGCTCCTATACAAGACGTCTTGCTTAGACACAACGTCTACTCAACTATGTAAAAGGTGAGTTGATGAAAATTAATGGGATAGAGGAAGAGATACAGATTAAGAATGATAAAGAGCAGGATGAAATTCAGATTGGTGAGACAGATAAAAAGGTTTTTTTTTATAGAATAGGGGGCAAACGAGCATGCGGCCCACCTGATGGTAAGTGACTACCGCCGCCCATGAACAACCGCAACACCAGGGGAATTGCAGATGCGTTGCCGGCCTTTTAGAAAGGTGTAAGCTCTTTTCTTGAAGGTTCCTAAGTCGTATCGGTTCGGAAAATTCGCTGGTGGTAATTGAATACTTGAATAAATTGGTACTAGCAAATAAGGGTAATAGAGGGGAAGAAATACAGATTTATGATTTACAGAAAGAGCCAGAGATTAGTAACGAAGGAAAGGGAACAAAGCGGTAATACTCTGATACTGCGGAAAATGAAATATTTAATATAGAAGATACTGTACTATTACGAAATTATATAGGACATTCTTAGAAATATTATGTTGGCATAATTGAACATATCAATGTAGCAGAAACATTATAGACAATATCTTTTTTTTAAACTATCGGTAAAAAAGACAAATTAAAGTTCCGTAAAACAATCCGTGAGGAAAAGGATACGGTACCCAAAGATTTAATTGTAAAACATATTAAAATGCTTCAAATATCAAAAAAACCCCGTTGAATAATATATTATATTGCGACGAAGATCTGATTTATTTTTAATAATATTAAGTAAAAAATTGGATAAATTTAAATAAAAAGAGTATAATTAATCAAGTAATGGTGTTTTATTGATAATTTGGGAGTTATGTTGGTAGAGTCATAATTCACACACATACACATAATGTCACTTGATCACAAATTGACAATATAACTAGAAGTATTTATCACAACTCTTTTTTAACTATACACAGTAGGGTAATCAGTAATTCGGAATATTTCAGTAGTCAGTGTACACGTGGCTTAACAGTTACAATTTAGTAACAATTCGTTACTTTTTTCGTAACTACAATTTCGATACGTACAATTATTTTGAAAAACGCTTATTAGGGTATTTTTAAAACGGCTCTGACGATTTCGTTAAAATATCCCCTATACTGTAAATTTTAGGGTCAAACCGAACTAGCTAGCTAGGTCTTCTTTCTGGAAAAATTCGTCTTCTCCGTGTTTCACGTATAAGGCCCGCCACATACATACGGAATTCCGATTCGAGATTCCGAACGCAGCAAATTCATATAAAATCTATGACCCGTCACACACGTACGGTAGTTTTCCGTTCAAAATTTTGCGAGCAAAACGGGATTCCGTATGTGTGTGGCCGACCCGTTCGCAATTCCGAAACGGAATTCCGTATGTATGTGGCGGGCCTAAAGCAACAAGCTTAACTTTCCGCGTATTATCACAGAATAGATAATAGTGCTACAAGTAGTTTCGCTTGCGCTTGGCTACCACGCTTGAGTGCGTGAGTTCGAATCCGGGCAATGTGGTCAGTTTCTTTTTAGTTTTTGTTCTTTAGTACAGTATTTTTACATAAAAACATTTTTAATATTTTTTTTTGAATAATTTTAATAAATGCTTTTATGAATATTGTAATTGCAATATTTGAATGTATAAGTCGACTATCGTTTTTTTTTCAAACGCGTTAAGAAAGGAGTTACTTTAACTTTCCTAAAAATTTCTAACACATCAGCATGTCTAAATTAGTCAATGATGTTTATATAGTTTGATGGTATTGGTGTTTGTCGATTGAAGACATATTAAGCTAAAATAAAAACAAGGTTTTATATACTGATTTAATCGTTATGAACGATTGAATACCAAATTTTGGGATAATTGACAAAAATCATAAATTTTATGATAACTAGAAATTCTGAGTAGTAAATCTGCTCAAAAATTAATAATATATATATATATATATATATATATATATATATATATATATATATATATATATATACACATATATATAAATAAATAATAAAACACAGTTCACCGTTATTTCGCTTCGAAGTATACTCTTGTATCGCCAATTCAATACTGCCCCGGTCGTGGTCTATACCGGCCTTATATAGTTTCCAGAACCTTCTACTGTAGCGACATCTAGAATGTTCGAGTACATATCGGTCCCGAAATTTCTGGAACCTAGTTCTGCTACTCGACACTAGAGGGCGCTAGTGTAACTAGTGTTGCCATGTACAAGACATTAATAGTGGCGCGCAACAGTAGTATAGTTGTAGCACGAATGGGTCGGCTCGACCGGGGAAGGCCCACGCTCTCACAGAAAACCAGCGTAAAATAGCAGCTTAACGCTGCTGTGTTTCGTATGGTGTGTGTAGAGACACCATACGAAACACAGAAACCGGAGACCCTTTTTACTGGCAAAGAGGCATTCCATCTTCGTCCTCACGGGTGACAACGCATCTGCATCTTGAGTCTTTATTGAGGATAGATGTAGATGTCTATGGGTCACAGTAACCACTTACCATCAGGTGGACTGTGTGCTCGTTTGTCACCCTATACTATAATAAAAAGAACCAGAGTGACCGATATAGCTCAGCGGATTATTAAGCTGACGTGGCAATGGGCCGTCCATATAGCTCGAAGAACCGACAACCGATGGGGAAGAAAGGTTTTCGAGTGGCGGCCTCGTACCGGCAGGCGAAGTTTAGGCCGTGCTTTGTGGCATTCCTTGGGGGGCAACCTATATTCAGCAGTGGACTTGTGATGGGCTGTAATGATGATAAGGATGAGATATTAAAATAAAACAGGTGTATTTTTTAATTCGGTATATAATACGATATCTTCTATAAATACTAATTTAGTGACAAAATAATTATTTCTCGGCTCTTCTCGGCGGCTTTTATTAATTTTTCCATTTAATTGACTGTAAAAAAAGTCACTGTTAATAATCAACATCTAAAAGTAATTAGAACATAGGCCTCCCCAAGAAGCAAATACAAAGAGGAGACGTCCTAAGTAACTGTGCACTGTGACTTCTCTAACTAGGTCCTGACGTGGGTGTGGCTTTAGTTAGTATACTGTCAGCACTCGTCCTGTGCGCTTATGTGTTGAAAATCGCAAATCGGTGTATTTTCGTAGTATTAAGAAGAAAAGGATGAAGTGTTATGTTTTATCGTGTAAAAACTACTCAGATAGACGCTCTGATGCTATCACATTTCATTGATGGATGGATATCTAATTTTTTTAAATAGTTCTAGAAAAATGTCTTTGCGTTGGCTTTCAAATATAATTAAATATATTCGACACTAGATGGCGACACTTTTTGTCATGGGAACTAAAAATATAAAAGTACATAGAGATCAGTATTGGTAAAATAATCATACGAAGGCGCTGAAATTTATTTTGCATACAATCCTAAGGAATTTTTAATCATCAAAATATTATTTTCTTAGTTTTTATAATCATTTTGTGAACAGGCCGTCATCTATCGTCAAGGTAGCTAAACTACATTGCAATATCGATATGGAACGATGCGAGTAATTTTATTATTTATATGTAGGTGGAAAATAGTTAAGTGGGCGGGGCTTAACACCCCCTCACCCTGCAAACTGTCACGCGTTGTTACATAGCGAAATCTAATTACAACACCTCCTCTTTTTATTTGCTCCGTGGGCCTCCCCCGCAGATAGCCTTATAGTTTGTTGCCACGCTTGGCACGCGGCTTTGGGAGGCCAAGATTTTTTTTATTTTTGACTTCTTATCGGTAGGATGCTGCTGCCGATGTCCTGTTTCATTTCCTTGTATCGCCTCTTACGACTCGCACGGGATGATATGTGGTAGTGTATTCTCTTATTCTCTCTTATTCACCATCAGGTGCACTGCGAGCTTGTTGGCTAATATTGTGGTGATCGGACCAATACAAACGACTGTATCGTTACAATATCTCTTTGTTACTGCTTCTTTAAACTAGGTGTACATGTATTTATTTACACTGCTGGTAGGAGGAAGGCACATGCTACTACACTATTTATTTTAATTTTTTTTTTATAAATACATACAGATCAATGAGCTGAAGTGGCTCGAAGAATCGAGATCAGAGAAGACAAGTTTATGATTGAAATCGAAGAATCATCTGATGGGGAAGGCATGTTTATGATTGGAATAACCCTTTTGAACGAGGTAATAGTGTCTGCTAACATTTTTACTGGTAACCACTTCTTAGGTCACTTCCAAAAACAATCTGCATTTTGATTTTCAATCGCGAATAGATGTGTCATATCCAAGGGCTACACCATACAATGTAATGTATGCCATACATTAACCATCAGGTGGACTGTGTGCTCGTTTGTTTGCCACTCTTACTCTATAAAAACCGATAAGGCAAATGTGGGGCGATCACCCATCAGATGTGACGACCTAGTAAGACATATAGGCAGTAGATAGATGTAGGTGACTTGGAACCATGATTTGTGGCATTCCTTGAGGGAGGCCTTTGCACAGTTTTAGACACGTAGGGCTGTAATGATGATAAACTCACGCTATCCCTTAATGTGTTCTCAGCGTAAATATATTCCTCGGACTGTGGGTTCAGGGTCATCTTATAATTAGTGAGGGCCGCTCTGTCCTTTTGTTTAGCCAAGGTTTCTATCACCACCGAGTGTATCTGAAACAGATATCCCATATATACCAACACTGGAGAGTAAGGAGGAAAATTTTTATAAAAACAGCTTTAACAACTCAGTCAAGCCTAGATTTACTATGCCGTGTAGAGAATCCATTATACAATTCCGTCTAATGGGTCATAAGAGATAGCTTAAGTGATTAAGTAGTTAGTAATTAATAAGCTGTTTGTTAGTAATTAGTTTATTTTTATTTTTTAGTTAGTAACAGGCCATCATAATTGCATTAGCCACAAAGCCCTTTTGTTTAGGAAAAAATTTTTTTGTCTATGGTCCCTTATTCTAATTTTATCTTATACATCTGCCCTAGTCGCCATTATCTACTGTTTAGAAAACCTTGTCTATGCTATTTTACTCTATTCTTACCTTATACTTCTGCGCCAGTCTCAGCCTATCTTCAGTGCCGGCAATTTTGTTTACACAAGAGGCGAGCATACGTTCGCTCGCCTTTAGTTCGCTGAGCCGTGAGAGCAGCGTCTCTATTGGTATGTGGGACGACACAGTAGTACGACCGAACCAGTCCTGAGGAATGTGAACGCGCCTTTACGCATGTAATGTTTACCGTGTACGGGCGGTGTAAGAATATCCACTAACACATATCATCTCGCATTTGTCGTAAGAGGCGACAAAGTGAAACAAACCAGGAGATGGGCAGCAGCGTCTTCCTGATAATAACTCAAAATATCAAAAATCTGAGGTTGCCAACCTGCCTGCCAAGCGTGGCAATTATCCCCCTCCCCCCCGGACAATCTATGTAGGCCTATGTTAAGCAGTGGACTTTTGTAAGCTGATTTTTGGAAACAAAATTAAGGTCCAAATTTTCAGAGAAAAGTCCCAAAGAGAGAAGGAAGTTTCGAGAGCGCTGGGGTACTTCAGTGTTTGACTGCAAGACTTTGATGCCATAAAATTGTATTGTATTGTATTGATCCTTTTAAAAGAAAGGGTTCCAGTATGATATTACGAATTTCTCCTGTAACACAGAGGCGTATTACATATATAAATTGCGTATAGACAAACATTCGTAGTCGGAACAACTAACAGTACATGATGCTGTTGTTTGGTGGTGGTTTCGAACCCTATTAGGCCCTGCCTCGGACTGAGTTTTGTTTAGTACCTATTGGTTTTAAATAATTATTTCAAATCTAATTATAGTTCTAATCTAAATTAAATAACATTTGTTATAACAACCGTGACCCATTAGGACAGGCGGGCGAAACGAAATTGTAGGGTATAAGCATTTTCATTTCTATTAAAAAGAGGAATTATATAACAATAGTTCTCTTTTCTAAGACTATAAATAATATTATAGTTAAAGTTATTTATCTATTTAGTTAATATTCTTTATTGCACATCATACATAACTTACAGAAATTATATATATATATATATATACAAGCTGTGCTCCGCGGTTTCACCCGCGTCATCACGTGTCCATGGTGCGCGACATGACCTAGTTCAAGCATTTTATAACGGCTAGCTTTAAGCGTCGTTCACGCGCCCAGCCAAGTATTGAATTATTTTAATTTTACATTATCTCTTAAACTATGCGTCCAAATAACATGGTATAAAGAACAAAGTTTATCTTCATAAAATTGTCTTGATGATGAAGTAACTTTCGTTCGTAAGGATAAATAGAACATACCTAATAATAACGCTCATAAATCATTTTTAAATTTTCAATATTTTTTGTCAAAAAATACCAAATTATGGCTTATGTATAAGAAATAGACATATGGTATCGCGGACTTTTTTTAGACGGAGTAAAGGTCTATATTTTTCTAGAACATTGTATTTACGTATCCCTAACTATAACACCAGCGTACGCGGATAAATCATTTCGGGAGTGCTTTTTCTTCTGATTTGCTTAACAAATATCCATATTTAAGGCTAGCTGAGTAATATAGCTTAATGATAGACAGCCTATTCCACATGAATCTGGCTATAATATACAAAAAGAAGTTTTCAAATTGGACTGGTAGTTCCAGAGATTAGCCCGTTTAAACAAACAAAAAAACTCTTCCGCTTTATTATATTAGTATAGATATAAAAGAAGTATGCAATGGGCGGTCTTATTGCTGATAGCAATTTCTTCCAGACAACCAATGAATGCACAGGATTGCACGAATATGACAAGGGAAGAGCGAATTGGTGTGATAGAGAAAAAAGAGGTAATAAAGAATAAATATATACACATACACATACTACAAAAATATATACGTACAAAAAATAAAATACATATATATTGAATTATTTAATTAATTAAATGAAATTGATATGCTATATATAATATTATATTTAATGGCTAGTGTGGAAGTGAAGTTAGAATTTAAAATGCGAGGTAATGATTCTTAACTAGTTTTTTAAATACCGGTAGGGATGGTGCACATTTTACTGACAATGGGAGTTCATTCCATAAATGAACGGCATGCACAGTAAAATACTTGTTCATAAATTTTCTAGTGTATAGTGGCAAATTCAACTTCAAGCTCTCTGCTGAACTCAAACTCAACTCAAACTGAAACTCAAAACGATTCTGTTGATACTCTTCATACGGAAGTAAGAAGGATTAAAGAGAACACTATAGAGAAGATAAAGTATATGAGATGAAGTTAATAAGAGAACTAAAAAAAAGCATTGAAGATATAAGGACCAACCTAATAACGCATATATTGTATTAATGAGGTGATAGTAAACATTTTTGTTTTATCAACAAAACAAAGTTTTATTCTACGTTATCCGTGTAGTGGCGGTGTAGAATATACCCTATCTCATATCTTTCCATCGATGTCGTAAGAAGCGACAGAGAGAAACAAACCAGGTAATGGGCCGCAGCTTCTTCCTAATAACACCTAGAATCAAAAACTGCTGTTCCCAACCCGCCTGTTAAGCGTAGCAACTGTGGCAAATACCTCCTATAAAGCAATCTATATAGCCCTATGTTCAGCAGTGGACTTTTTCCTTCGGGAACCCGTGCATTCTGGTCTCTCGCCAAGGCTGTCCAAGGGAATTTCTGTAAGCCATCACTACCATCTCTGCACAGGGAGGACGACTCACTGGCCCAAGACGCAAAAGACAAAGCCGACCTTTTAGGCTCCCTTTTTGCGTCCAACTCGACTCTTGATGACGGGGGGAAAATACCGCCGACCATCCCGCGGTGTGAGTGCTCCATGCCGGATGTGCTATTCTCACAGCGCTCAGTTCGCAAAGCACTTCTCTCCCTGGACATCCAGAAGTCGAGTGGGCCTGACGGAATCCCCCCAATTGTGCTGAGGACGTGTGCTCCGGAGTTGGCACCGGTCCTAACGCGTCTTTTCCGGTACTCCTACTCCCAAGGCGTAGTCCCGAATTCATGGAAGACAGCTTTTGTCCACCCGATCCCTAAAAAAGGCGACCGCTCAGACCCGTCCAACTATAGGCCTATCGCGATCACCTCCTTGTTCTCCAAAATAATGGAATCCATTATTAACTGCCAGCTCATCCGGTACCTTGAGGATCACCAGCTGATTAGTGACCGCCAATACGGTTTTCGTCGGGGTCGATCAGCTGGTGATCTTCTGGTCTACCTGACCCATAGATGGGCGAAGGCAGTAGAGTCCAAGGGGGAGGCGTTGGCCGTTAGTCTGGACATTGCGAAGGCCTTTGATCAGGTTTGGCACAAAGCGCTTCTTTCGAAGCTGCCTTCCTATGGGCTTCCTGAGAAATTGTGCAATTGGATCACCAGCTTTCTTGCAGATCGGAGCATCAAGGTCGTTGTAGACGGTGCATGTTCTGACTACAAGCCTATTAACGCTGGTGTTCCACAAGGCTGTGTGCTATCACCAACGCTGTTTCTTCTGCATATCAATGATATGTTGCTAACTGGTAACATTCATTGCTATGCGGATGACAGCACTGGTGATGCTCTATACACCGGCCGGGCCAATATTTCTCGGGAAAACGTCGCCGAGTACCGGAACAAACTTGTGTCTGAAGTCGAGTCTTTGCTGGACAAAGTCTCGGATTGGGGGCGACTAAATCTAGTCCAGTTTAATCCTCAGAAGACACAAGTTTGCGCGTTTACCGCTAAAAAGAACCCCTTTGTCGTATCTCCTCAGTTTCAAGGCACTCCCCTTCTTGCCTCAGCCAGTATCGGTATCCTCGGAGTCGACATATCGAGTGACGTGCAGTTTCGTGGTCACTTGGAAGAGAAGGCCAAATTGGCCTCTAAAAAGCTTGGCGTGCTCAGCAGAGCGGGACAGTATTTCATGCCGGCACACCGCCTGCAACTTTACAAGGCGCAGGTTCGGCCTCACATGGAATACTGTTCCCATCTCTGGGCTGGGGCTCCCCAGTGCCAGCTCCTTCCACTTGACCGCATCCAGCGCAGAGCGGCTCGAATCGTCGACGACCGAGCCCTTTCCGATCGGCTCGATTCATTGGCACTGCGAAGAGATGTTGCATCTCTTTGCATTTTCTTTCGCATCTACCATGGGGAGTGCTCTGAGGAATTGTTCGGATTAATCCCAGCCGCCAAATTTCACGAACGCACATCGCGGCAGAACTCCCGATACCATCCACACCATCTGGATGATTGGCGGTCCACCACTGTGCGATTTAGAAGATGTTTTCTTCCTCGCACAACTTCCTTGTGGAATAGTTTACCACCAGGGATTTTTCCGGACCGATACGACTTAGGGACCTTCAAGAAAAGAGCCTACTCCTTTTTAAAAGGCCAGCAACGCATCTGCAATTCCCCTGGTGTTGCGGTTGTTCATGGGCGGCGGTAGTCACTTACCATCAGGTGAGCCGCATGCTCGTTTGCCCCCTCTCCTATAAAAAAAAAAAGATGTAACGGGAGTAAACATAGAGATTCAAATACACATTGGGTGTAAATGCGTAGGTTTTCATAGAGCAACACTGCAACAAGAATGGGTCGACTCGATTGGGGAAGGACCGTGCTCACACACAATACTAGCGTGAAATAGCAGAAAATGCTCCTGTGTTTCGTATGATGATTTATTTGTAACGACACATTCCATCTGTCCTCGGGGCTCAGGGATAACTAACTACTCAACTGCAATCTGATTGCTAATTCATGAGAGATGTTGAAGTCTGTGGGCCACAGAATCCACTTCCCATCAGATGAACTGTGTGATCGTTCGTCATCCTTACTTGTATAAAGAAAATGGTGTAAAAAGTAAAATGAATAAAATACCTTTTTTGTAAACAGTGATTCGACTATATCCCATTTATTGGAATTCGCGTGTACGTTCAACACAACCCAGTCGTATTGAAGCGGACTGATCTGAAAGAGTTTTATTTCTATTACTTCAACATTTTTTACAGCAGGGTAATAACAAAAAGCCTAATATAACAGCCTGCATACGTCCCACAGCTTCGCATAAAATCCCACAAATTTTTTTGTTCAAGGGCAGCCACTACCCCAATAAAAAAATTGTATTTTTGATGAAAAAAAGCAAACTCGCCCAATTGCGATATTTGTCACATTACAGAAGATGTCCAACATATGTATGCTAGCAGAATGTGTCGAATATCAAAGGGAAAGGGAGAATCTGGTGCAAAAATGTAATACCAATTTGTGTGAAACTGGTTGGTTATTTAGTATACTTGCGGCTTGCGGAGCAACATTCAGCGGTAGCAAAATCATTCATTTCCATATTCTTACCACATTGACTCCCTCTTTTTAAATAGCATTTGTGTAACAGGAACAAGTTATGTTACGATAAGGTTGACATATCCTTGTAGGATAAAAGCCTTTTTAAAAAAAGATAGAAAAAAAGGGCAGGGAAGAGACTTCTTCGATGCCTACACAATTTCATTGGTGTCGCTGGGGATCGAATTTTTTTTTAATGGAATATGGGTGACAAACGAGCACACAGTCCACCTGATGTTAAGTGGTTGGTGTGGTCCATAGACATCTACATCTTCTATCTTCTATCTTCGTTTGCGAATTAAAATGCAGATGCGTTGTCAGCCGTGAAGACAAAGATAGAATGCCTCTTTTCCAGTAAAAAGGGTCACCGGTTCATTACACTCACCATACGAAACACAGCAGCATTAAGCTGCTATTTTACGCTGGTATTCTGTCAGAGCGTGGTCCTTCCCCGATCGAGTCTACCCATTTGTGCTACAACTATACTATTAATATAGCTGCAGCATGGCTTTACCACGTCGAGGATTGGTGTGCTCGCGTACTATAAAATTTGAAGGGAATTTGAATGAATTTGATCCAATTATAATATGCATGACTGCCTCGTTGGTGTAGTGATCGCAAGAGTGATTGCTGATATGGTCTCATGTTCGAATCCCGGGTAGGTGAGTCAGGAATTTGGCAGTGTTTCAACCACATGCCTTGGAAAGTACGTTAATCGAATGATCCTGCACCTGATCTCTCTCCAATGGTAAAGGACTGCCGTCCCGTCGGACTATGAGAGTAAGGAAATGGAGTGCACCTGTGTTTGCGGACACACTGCACTATAATCCTGTCTTGTTTAGGTATAATAATGTCCTCCAGAGTGGTCTGGACGTTGTTATAATAAGCACCCTGTTATTTAGGCTCTGGTGACCATTAAAATGGCGATATATATTTTTGAAAAGGAGTCTTTACACCTAGTAAAGCTCCATAGCGTGTAGGAAAATCTTTCAAGTAATGTATAATATACATAAAAGGGCTTTGCGTAAACGAGATTGTTTTACCGCCATCTATTGGAAGCCATAGGAACTTTCAGACATTTTCCATAGTCGTCTCTTACGTCACCCACAGGACGGAACCTGGTTATGGATGGATTATTTTGGTGTTCCCATTGATGCTTCTTACGTCGACCACTTGGGATGGGGATGTTGCATTCTTTACGTCGGAACACAGGTCTTAGATTAGAATTACGAGTGTTGGTGGCAGAATGCACCTGTTGTCTTTGACAGAGTGTAAGTGGTGACATCATATTCCCCGCGCCTTCCGTCCAGTGGAAACTGCAACAGTACGCCAAACACTGCAATGCTGATTTGTTATTTAATTCAGTCTTCTTTGCGAAATTCTGCCATTCTGCAATTGAGTTTTTTTTTCATTTATTATGACTTTGGTTACAAGGACTTTTGCCAAAAATATACACAATTTATGGGTATAAAAATGATCATGTTAACAATTTCTTTTACAATATGTTGATGAGTTACACTACGATGTTTTGGGAGATTTTTGGTGGCATCTTAAGCCAGCAAACGATGATGATATTATATAGTATCTCAAGGTGCCGAAGCTGACTAAAGAGATTGAGGTTTATAATTTACATGATCTATGCATTTAATACGTAAAACCGAACCACTTTTACCATTTAGCGACCCTTACGAATGTGTGCGTGCATAGCAAAATAGTAGGCGTTAAATGTTTATGAATGAAAATTAGTCAAAATAACGCATTACCGCGCATTCGGAATTTAATTTTCAAATTTAATTATTAAATTTTTATAATTAATAGAATCAGGCGTTACTTTGCGGAAATCCATTATATAAAAGCTTTTAGAAAAATTTACTTCGCAAATAAAATAAAATAATGTGTTTTACCTAGTATAGTGATAGTGATATAGACTCTACGGTGGCTAACCGCTAAGCTTAGCGGTTAGCCACCGTAGAGTCTATATCACCTGACGATGCCTCGTGTAGAGGCGAAACACGTGTCGTATTATCGTCAGTGGTGTGTCTTGCCTAGTGTAGTGGTGTTGGGAGTAGCGGTGCTGGGATTGGTGGTGACGAGGATAGTGCACGCAATTGAGGGAGGGCGGGAGGTGCTCTTCATACTAGGTAAGACACATCATTTTATTTTATAACGCGGATATTTGCGAAAAAAATGTTTCTAAAAGCTTTTATTAAATTTTTCTTTTATGCCTGTTTACATCTATATCTAAATTGCAAATGGATAATCATCTAGATCCGGAAGAATAATTAACTATCTAATTTTGTGCAGGATTTAACCGTGCCGTCATACGATTTCATAGACATAGTTTAAAAGACAATGTTATTGTTAAAGAGCTTATATAATGTTACATGTTAAATGGTCTCGTGTGGCCCTCTCGTACCATTAACTAAAGTGTAGAACGACCTCCAACTAGATACGACAGAGACAGGGAGTGACGACCTGGTAACACATGCAGGAAGTCGAAGGATGCGGGTGACTCAGGACAGTGTATTGTGGCATTCCTTCGAGGAGAACTATATTTAACAGTGGACTTAGAAAGAGCTGTAATTATGATGATTACTTAATGCTGTCAAAATAGTAATTTATTCTTGGATATATTATTTACCCAACAATTTGACGTAGTCAGCGACCATCTTCGTCTGGTGGGCATCTACTCCAGGTTGGTTGAAATGATTGGCCAACAAGTTGGACATTTTGCGTAGCAAGCTCTCCAAATTATTGCCTTGGTTCTTTACAGCGTGTTGGAATTGATAAATCTGTGGATTTACTATCGAGTTCATTAGTAGTAAAGTTCAACCGAAAATGTTTTTCTTCAAAGTATGCATGAAATATCATAATATTTTCACATATTTTTTTTATTTGTAATAACTTACAGTAAGCCAGAACTGATAATCTTTATATTCGAAAAATGTTATTAGTAATATTTATTAATATTTTATTAAGACAAAAAAATTCTGCCACCAAATAGCAGTGCTTGTATTGCTGTGTTCCATTTTAAAGGGTAGGCTGTAAGGCATTCCATCTTAGTCCTGAGGGTTGACAACACATTTGCAGCCTTCGTTGTATGAAGTTGGCTGCCGGTTTCCATGGACTGCAGTATCCCCTTACGATCAGGTGGACGGTCACTTCAGTTTTTTTTTAAATTGGCCGTAGTTTTCAGCCCGACGAACGTTCATAGATCCGTGAAATAGCACGCAACTTGTTCTATATACCGGAGTTGTTCGGGAAATTCAACAGCGTGATTTAGTTTTCAGTTAGTTTACGCTTGCGGCGCGACGACAGCGTCGCCACATTATAATGTAAACTATAACATGGCATGTGTTTACATGATCGGTTTAAGTTTTAGTAATTGCTTAAAAATAAAAAATCGACCTATCTAACTACCACTAAGCTGATTAGTCACCAAATGGTAAGCATTTAAATTTACAACTCGTATATACTTACGGCTGAATCAGGACTCCTTCCCAGCATTCTAGAAAAAAAACGGAAATCATATAAAGTCTAAATCATCACCATATTTAAATTCATCAGGCGTCAAGTATTGCACTTTCTTACAAAGAGAGAGCTAGAGACTGCTTTCTGTCGCCCTTATCAAAAGCCCAGTAATTGTTGTCAATGTGGTACTATATCTTTTTCTTCTTAGTCAGCCAAAGGTACAAAAGTGAACATTAGCCTCTTGTGTTTACTTGGCAGTGCTAGACGACTTACAACTTTGTCGCTGTCCCCGTCGCTAGACTAGATATTTCACGGCCGGCGTAAAGAAAATGGTTATAGTATTTTATCTGAAGCAGTCTTTCTGCGGTATACTATATTCTCCATAGTCCATAGTCACCCACACACAGTCTTTTACTCACCCACAGGAAGAAGTGGTCTTCTTGGTTGGTTCCACCACCGTCGCCACGTCATCATAGTAGAACTATGAAAATCGTTTATCGAAATGCTGACGATATTATTTGCTTACTCTTGAAAATACACACATACAGACGTGTACAAGCACGCACGCACGCACACACAAATGGACGCACGTAAGCACACACCAATGGACGCACGTACGCACGGACGATCGCATGACTGCACAAAAGCACGCACTCATCGCATGCACACACATACACACAGGTTTCAAAGACCAAGCAATTAACAAATACTGAGTTTTCAATAACAACTACTAAAATTTTTTTTTCTATTGCTAAAAACTACTTACGTAAGAAAATCTGTTAGTTCAGATATTTTGCCTTCAGATTGAAGGGTGCTTATGTAATGGCCGAGGGCTGCAGGCCGGGATGAAAGTAATTCGTAAACGACTTTTCTGTTCAGAGTTTGTATGAGAAATAACACTACCTGTAAACCAGATTATTAATCATTTATTATAATAAAAAAGAAAAAAAAAACGGCCAGTTCAAAAATTAAAAATATAGAATTTCATGAATTTTGACTGTTTGTTATCCTCAATAATGAGTATATCAATTCATGTGTATGCATGTAGCACGAATGGGTAGGCACGACCGGGGTAGAACCACGCCCTCACATAATACCAGCGTAAAATAGCAAATTAATGCTGCTGTGTTTTGTATGCTGAGTATAGAGAACCGGAGACCCTTTTTACAGGATACGAGCCACTCCATCTTAGTCGAGTATTAATGCTACGTAACTGTTTGCTATTTACTAGTTAATTTGAGTGTGCTTACAAATTTTATGAGTTTTGGATGACCGTCCTCAATTATTAATAAAGCTATGAAATGCAGATGCATTGTCAGCATCTGCTTTTGATTCTTAATTGCGAATAGAGGATTCCAGCACACATTTATCATCAGGTGGACTGTGTGCTTGTTTGTCATCCACACTTCTGTAAAAAGAAAGATCACATCAGATATGGGTAGAGGGCCATTTTCCAGGTATCAGGTAATCTAGGTACGTAAAAACATTACTCACCTCATGTTAACTCTCCCAGCTGATTTTTACCTAAATGTTAGATAATATCGTTAAAAATCAGTCATCAATACTCCCAGACACTTTCCGTCGGCAGTATCGCTATGCAGACGCTTTAAAGCTCTCAAAAAATATTCAATTTCACTTATATTCCGAAGCTATATCTTTATATATGTCAGCCAGACAACTACTTTAAAACGTTTTACAAGAAGGCAGATCGATTCAAGTAGGCATGCGATCATAGTATATATTCCAGTAAAAAGGGTCTCCAGTTCTCTACACTCACCATACGAAACAGCTGCTGTTTTACGCTGGTATTCTGTGAGTGTGGTTCTTCCCCGGCCGAGCTGACCCATTCATGCTACAACTATACCACTAATATACCTAGTCAGGTCATAAGTATTATCACACAGTAAAAACTTTTCTTTTAGAATGCTGGCCACAAAAAAGTTTATTGAATTCGAATTTCGAATTGTTCATGAAAATAAAATTGTATACTTTTTAGAATTTTACTCATTTGTAAATATGGAGTGGACGCTTAAAGAAGACCGTGTTGCAGTTATTGCGTTGCATCGTTGCGGTTACGCGCCAATTCAAATTTTTGACATACTGAAAAATTTGAATATAACCAAAAGATTCGTTTATCGTACCATCAAACGATACAATGAAGACTCTAGTGTAGATGACAGGTCAAGAAGTAGTCGCCCTCGGTCTGTTAGGACTCCAGCAGTGATAAAAGCTGTGAAGGCGCGAATTCAAAGAAATCCCAAACGTAAGCAGAAACTGTTGGCCCTTCAGATGGGGTTAAGCAGAACCACGGTGAAAAGGGTGTTAAATGAAGACTTAGGGCTTCGGGCATATCGAAGAAAAACAGGACATCGTTTGAATGCTCGTCTAATGGACCTGAGACTGAAGAGATGCCACGCTTTGTTGAAGCGGGACGCGGAAAAAAAATATCGGGAAATTCTTTTTTCGGATGAAAAATTTTTTACCGTAGAAGAGAGCTACAACAAACAAAATGATAAGGTGTACGCACACAGTAGTGAAGAAGCGAGCAACCGTATTCCGCGTGTCCAACGAGGTCATTTTCCATCCTCGCTCATGGTATGGTTGGGAGTTTCTTATTGGGGCTTAACATAGGTACATTTTTGTGAGAAATGTGTAAAAACGAATGCAGTTGTGTATCAAAATACAGTCCTGACGAACCTTGTGAAACCTGTTTCTCATACCATGTTCAATAACAGGCACTGGGTATTCCAACAAGATTCGGCGCCAGCTCATAGAGCGAAGAGCACACAAGACTGGCTGGCGGCGCATGAAATCGACTTCATCCGGCACGAAGACTGGCCCTCCTCCAGTCCAGATTTGAATCCGTTAGATTACAAGATATGGCAACACTTGGAGGAAAAGGCGTGCTCAAAGCCTCATCCCAATTTGGAGTCACTCAAGACATCCTTGATTAAGGCAGCCGTCGATATTGACATGGACCTCGTTCGTGCTGCGATAGACGACTGGCCGCGCAGATTGAAGGCCTGTATTCAAAATCACGGAGGTCATTTTGAATAAACTTTAGTGTCATAAGAATCTATGTTTTGTTAAGTTCATTTTGGTATATAAATGGTTACATAATGAATAAACTTGTTTCAATTATTTTATATTAAACATGTGACAGAATTCATGACTTGACTAGGTAGTTACAGAATTGCTCTACCACATATAGAAGCGTCAACGTTTCCTCATTTTGAAACAGTAGTATATTTAAAAAAAAATTAACGGTAATGTGAACTAATTTTATTTCTGACATACTCACAGTAAGTATTGCGTTTCCATCGCCAATGGCAATGGCGCCATCTAATAACTCAGTCTTGCTTTTCAAACTGCGATGTACATGTAGTGAACATCTACGGCCAAGGACAAGCCTCTTCAACGTGATTGCTACAGTTTCTTCTGGTTCTTGTTTTGTTTCCTTTGCAGGGTCATTGCCGGATTGAGCGAGAACCACTGTTGGCAGACCAATTTTTAAGTATACCATCATGAAAACTAGTGGCGGTGTAGGATGATCTACTACTCCATATAGGGAAATTAAACAGCCGATGTGCAGCAGCATCTTCCCGATTACAACTCAAAATAGTAGACCACTGTGATTGCCAATCGGCTCAATTATTGTGGCAAATAGGGCAAATATAATATCCACTATTAGGCAGTCTATGGAGGAAGCCTATGTTAAGTAGTGAACTTTGGATAGGCGTAATACACACTATATACATTACACAGATGGTTTACCTGGGGAAAACATTCTTAGCAGTGATTGAACATGGACATGAAGGAAGGGGTTTGTTTGGATCACATAAAAGTCCATAGTCTCTGCCTACCCCTCTGGGTGACATACTTGAGTTTGTGTTTGTATGAATGTATGGATGTTCAAAGAATGTACTGAAACATAATATAATAAAGGGTCTGAAACAGTAACATACTGAAGACACTTTTCTGATAAACATTCTAATTCTAATGTAATGGTCTTTGATTCATGTTATATAAATTTAATGAAGCAGTGTCAGAGTGAAGATAATTGGATCATCTATTACATTTAAATACATTTTTACCATTTTTAGAATTGTCCGTCTGTTTGTTTATGAACGTATTACATTTAAAATAAAATTATTTTTTAAATAACTATATGGTCGCGTTCCGACGACACGCACCCGCTACGCGCACGCCACGCGCGTCAGCACCCGCGTCTAACACGCTTTGAAATGTGTTGCATATAATTTGAGTCTTATGGCAAATCAATAAATTTGAAATTGCATTTATCGACGTTCAAGTTCAACCGCACACGCCTCGCACACGCCCTGCGCCCGCCTCGTTCCCGCTCCGCGCCGGCCCCGCGCTCGCCCCGCACACGCGCTGCACCCGCCCCGCTACACCCTACGCCCGCGCTTTTTATACAATTTCAGATTTATTGATTTGTCATAAGACTCAAATTATATGCATAAAATTTTAAGACGCGGGTGCTGTAGCGCGCGGCGTGCGCGTAGCGGGTGCGTGTCGTCGGAACGAGGCCTAAGGAAAATCATAAAGCATATTTGTGAGTTACATTTAGTCATTTTTTAATGAAATTGGTTCTTTCTATCAAAAGTTATTGTTATTTTGGAGCGTAGTTATAATTTTTTTTAATGGTGGCATTGAGTTATACATGCATTTAATTTAAGCTCAGAAATTGTAATTGAATGAGGTAAAATATTGTTCTATAATGTTATATTTATACCTACAACACGTTAAACAAAAAAAAAAGGATATATTTTCTCACAAAGATTAAACATTTATAATACTATCTTAGAAAAAGACTACAATAGTTAACCAGTGTTATGCTAAATGTTATGCAAAAAAAGCAGTTTGGTTTTTTATTTCCTGAGGATGCGTCTTCTTAATTGCTGCTAATCTTTGTATTATAAGTGGAATAGCTCATATAGCAATATCAAATTTATTATATATTTCTTAAAACATATTTACTGTAGAATCATTGTGATGTAGAGTGAGGATGTCACCTATCTTTATCAAGGGCAAAAAGTAGGATGTACTACTTCTAATAAAAATAAACCTATCAGCCTTCATAAAACAACATCAGGTATAAATCTTTAATGAAATGTTTATATTATCACACTCATAACATGGTAAGACATGCAGGAAGTCAATAGATTCAGGTGGCTCAGGAACGTGCTTTGTGGCATTCCTTGGGGGAGACCTATGTTCAGCAGTGGACTTGTGAAGGGCTGTAAGATAAATATATAGGTACGATACTTGTAGGATTTTAAAGTAGTGTGATACTTAGCCCACAAAGACAAAAGCTATGGTGCAGCCATTCAAGAGGAGAGCCTCTTCTATTTTTTTTTGTGTGTCAAATGCTTCTGTACTCACACACTCGAGTAAAGGTGGAGTTAGTACGCATTAACCCCACAACCTGACCACATCTCAATGTTGCATAGACTTCGCTTACTTGGAGAACAAGACTGACTTACTGAGATCTAGAATCTTAGGTGACACCAGACTGGACAGTGGAATGTGTGCTGGTTTGACACTACTAATGTTAGAACTGAGGACTCCTTCTTCCTTTGAGCCAGAGTAAGATCTTTGACCTATGGCCAAAATCTCTTGTGGTGACAACTGAAATTCAAAATTGATATTAAAAATTTAAATTTAACAGAATAGTCCTTGTTACTTAAAATAAATTACAGATTTCCAAAAATATCCCCTTTTATGTTAATAATAAAAAAGATGAATACATATTCAGGATTTCGTTTTTTTTTGTCAGAAAATAATTTTCTTAGACAATTTTCAGACAAATTAAATTTATTAAGTTATGATGATTAGTCTAGCTTAATTTTTAGGAGAAAAATGAAGAACTTTGTCAAATGAATGGACTGATAATGATGATGAATTCATTTTTTATTAATCGAAACATTAGATTAATCGAAACAACAATAGTACACTTACTACATCATCATCAAAACTGAATGCCTTAGCCTTTGTTTCACTAGTATTCCAGTAATCGTCATCATCCATTTTTCTATCGTTAAAATGTATTATGCTTATTTCAACAAATACACAAATGTATTAAGACTGTAAGTTATAATAAAATAAACAAATACTATGTAATATAAAAGAGAAAACTTGAAATTGAATTATAAAATGTAAATAAATAATATTCAAGGCAAAGATATCTATATCCATACAGCCTAATTCTTCGTGTCTTTTGTTTAAAAAATCCTTGATGATAATAATATGTTGATGATGCATCAAATTGCAAAGACTTAGGGATATTTTTACAACAGCTTATTCAAGATATTCGATGACGATAGTATCGCAAAGCGAATAAAATATCACGAGGATATAAATCACCCTCCCGTGGACACTTGTTCCATTGTTTAAACTAAATAGTTCCTTTAGTTATTGTCCACACCGAATCACGCTTACGTTTTAAATATAGACTTAGAATATACCTTCTAAGTCTATGGTTTTAAATACCAATTTAAACCATTATTCAAGCGATAATTCCAGAGCAGCAATATGGCGGCTGTCAAGTTCCAATCAAAATCGCTGAATTCCTTTTGGTATTACTCAAAGACACTGTGTTTACTTTACTCTTTATTATATATTAATTACTATACTCTTTGTCTCGCTGATCTAGTAGTCGTAAGATGGGAGTTTTGGCGGGAACTTGTCCGGCGGCGGATTGCTGCTCCTGTATTATTGTTTAAATAATGGTTTGAAGTGGACTTTGATATGTAGAAGTGGTGCGATTTTGTGTATTAAGTGTCTGCGCATGTGAACTATTAGTGGAAACTGTGAAACAAATGCTCTGATGGTGATGTGATTCTCAAAATAAGGTGTCTATCTGCTTAGGTGCCTTGAGATACCATCGCGAACCGTCAGCTATCTGCTGGCTCAAGTTGCCGTCAAAATCTCCCAAGGGCTGCACAATGTGACGCATCAACATATTGTGAAGCAGTATACTATGAAGGATAATTATTATAATATATCGTAACTTCAGGCTCAGAAGGGCTAGATCTCAGAGCCGTAAAGCCAGTTATTAAGAAGTAGTCGTAAGATTCTGGGAATACCTTTAATAAAAATCAGTCATTAGGTTTTTTTATAAGATATTCTCAGTAGTAGCTCGGAATCAGGCAGTTTTATCAACGGTATTTCACCCCTCGCCCTGGAAAGCACGTAAAGCCTGCGTCTAATCGCTCTACCGCCGTTGTCGGGTATACGTCTCATCGGACTATAAGATTGAGGGAATAGACAGTACACCAGTGCTTGCGTATACACTCGGATACCATTGTTCTGTCCTGTGTAGATGTCTAGTCTCCGTTGAGAAATTGGGTCCGGAGGACCTTGTTACATTATTACTCTTTTCCTGAATCTTGAATTTTCAATGTAAATTAAGTTGGAATTACCCAGTAGATCCAACTTAAGTTACATCGCTGGATCTCTGAAATCAAACAAAATTAATATATAGGTATTATACAAAGGGCATAAAAACAAAATTATTAATTAAAAAGTAAGTAGCTATTTTTTGGCCGTTGAATCACATGGCTTAAAATATTTTTTATGAAATTGTTTTGTAGCCTTATGACCTTTAATTCGCAGGAATAAACTCTCAATTCGCAAGTAAGGACTTGCGATTTGAATTCTTCATTACGTAAATACCTACCACAGAACGCATAATGATTTCTTATATTTAGGCGAATACTACACATTAAATGAAACTAATTTTACGGATTTTATCTCATTTAATTTTAACTTTTTAATTGCCTACGTTTCATACATATAACATGTAATACCATAAAGTACTAGTAAAAGTGCGAGACTTTTGGTACTGCTATCACGAAAAGAGAGAAACATCCATAGGATTTAGCCTGCGAGAGAATGAGATAGAATACAGTTTAGACCGCGAAATTAAAAGTTATTGTGTTCGAATCTACCATTCGACTAATTTTATTTTCTCTTTAAAAATTGTGTATTTTAGTGATATGTTAAAAATAATCTATTGCTAGTATTTTAAAAAAACACATTGTTTCTTATTATATTTGTCTTCTCTTTGTGCAGCCATCCAATTAGAACACCTATAGTGACTATTTTACGTACCACCTTAAGAGTCAATCAATTTTGTTCGATATAATGACTTTTCAAGCACTGGCTTATAATTAGTAAAAAAAAAAACCTATAGAATAAAGTAGATGGCGCAATTACAAAGTAATTTTACTCGAAAGAAAATATTCTTTTGATTTATTACACTAAAATTAAGTCTAAGGCGCTGCGCAAATCTAGATACTTTTGTGTCTTGTGTGGGATACAAGCCACCAATGAATATTTTATTTTCATGTAATCAATATGAATTCCTTGCGCAGACACTTTTTGTGTCAGTTGCTTCCACTTGACACATACCGATGGCCAATCAAAAAGTGTTCGGTGTAGGTAACTGGAAAATTTAAGTCGTCAGTTGAAGACACAAGCTATTATTTATTCTGAGGCACACAAAGCAAATTTCCTTACAATTGTACGGCGTTGACATTGACGTGGTGCGTGTGTAATCAACACAACAAGTAAAGGTAAAGTTCCTCCATCGACATCCAAGGTGAAACTGACGGAAAACAATCAACGAATTGTTACCAGTGTCCAGAAGTAGCAACCGGCGACTGCGACCGATTGCCGCTACCGGACACAGTAACTACGGTGTCCTGTGATGGTGTGCCGTGTCGGTAATAAAAACTCTCCACGTTTTCGCTATAAAATTAAGCGTTTATCTTACATTTTATGCCGCACTTGTGGTTGAAAATGATCGTAAATAAATAATTTGGCGTGAAATATTTTTATTTTATATTTAATTTCATTTGAAAGTTTCTCTTCTACCACGTGTGAACTGCACACATGTTTTTTTACGTTACCCTATTAGGATTTTCTCATGTATCGCGGAGGCAGTTTAAAAACTGTAATAAATGTAATAAATCGCACAAGGATATACATCCAGACCCGGAACAATTGTTTGTAGGTCATACAATTTCTTATTCGGTGCGGTATTCGAACCCACGGCCCCGAGCGCTACAACTCATTGCTGCGCCACGGAAACGTCATATGGCATATTCTTCGACCTATGAGAGAGACCTAAGTCGAGTAGTGAATTGTTACGCGGTGAAAACGATGAAAATCTTTCCAAAAATTCTTTTAAGTACAGCATAATATCATAAGTCCATTTATGAATACATATATACCTAGTCAGGTCATAAGTATTGTCACGAAGTAAAAACTTTTCTTTTAGAATGCTGGCCACAAAAAAGTTTATTGAATTCGAATTTCGAATTGTTCGTGAAAATAAAACTGTATACTTTTTAAAATTTTACCCATTTTTAAATATGGAGTGAACGCTTAAAGAAGACCGTGTTGCAGTTATTGCGTTGCATCGTTGCGGTTACGCGCCATTTCAAATTTTTGACATACTGAAAAATTTTAATATAACCAAAAGATTCGTTTATCGTACCATCAAACGATACAATGAAGACTCTAGTGTAGATGACAGGTCAAGAAGTGGTCGCCCTCGGTCTGTTAGGACTCCAGCAGTGATAAAAGCTGTGAAGGCGCGAATTCAAAGAAATCCCAAACGTAAGCAGAAACTGCTGGCCCTTCAGATGGGGTTAAGCAGAACCACGGTGAAAAGGGTGTTAAATGAAGACTTAGGGCTTCTGGCATATCGAAGAAAAACAGGACATCGTTTGAATGCTCGTCTAATGGACCTGAGACTGAAGAGATGCCGCGCTTTGTTGAAGCGGTACGCGGGAAAAAATATCAGGAAATTCTTTTTTCGGATGAAAAATTTTTACCGTAGACGAGAGCTACAACAAACAAAATGATAAAGTGTACGCACACAGTAGTGAAGAAGCGAGCAACCGTATTCCGCGTGTCCAACGAGGTCATTTTCCATCCTCGCTCATGGTATGGTTGGGAGTTTCTTATTGGGGCTTAACAGAGGTAGGTACATTTTTGTGAGAAAGGTGTAAAAACGAATGCAGTTGTGTATCAAAATACAGTCCTGACGAACCTTGTGGAACCTGTTTCTCATACCATGTTCAATAACATACACTGGGTATTCCAACAAGATTCGGCGCCAGCTCATAGAGCGAAGAGCACACAAGACTGGCTGGCGGCGCGTGAAATCGACTTCATCCGGCACGAAGACTGGCCCTCCTTCAGTCCAGATTTGAATCCGTTAGATTACAAGATATGGCAACACTTGGAGGAAAAGGCGTGCTCAAAGCCTCATCCCAATTGGGAGTCACTCAAGACATCCTTGATTAAGGCAGCCGCCGATATTGACATGGACCTCGTTCGTGCTGCGATAGAAGACTGGCCGCGCAGATTGAAGGCCTGTATTCAAAGTCACGGAGGTCATTTTGAATAAACTTTAGTGTCATAAGAATCTATGTTTTATTAATTTCATTTTGGTATATAAATGGTAACATAATGAATAAACTTGTTTCAATTATTTTATATTAAACATGTGACAGAATTTATGACCTGACTAGGTAGGTCTCCCCCATAGTTTACCTCATAAAAAATATTTACTATAGTCAGCACGCAGGCATTGAAGGAGGCTTGGCAAACACAGTCTTTTTTTTTAATTTGGTACCAGAAAAATGCTGCTGTCTCTTATGATACCCATGGAATGATATAGACTAGCACCGCCACTATACTGCAAGAAAAAAAAACGATAAATCTAATATTGTACTCGTAATCAAGTTATCACGTAATCTTTACTTATCTGGAAATCGTATGCTATTGACATATATTTTTGTTTTAATGTCAACGATGCCTCTTAAACTGGTGTCCTTACCAAATTTTTATTGATAACAATGATGTAATTTTCCAGCGTACTTCTGGACGATTTGGCTGTTCGGAAAATTATAATAATTATATACTATTTATTACAGTTCATCATCACTATGGCCAATATCATTGGGGGGGGGGGGGGGGGGAATATTTGCCATAACTGCTACGCTTGACAGGCG